CAAGATCAGGAAGAAATTTGGTGGCAAATACATTAACAAGCTTTGTCCGGACAGCTTTTATATTACCTTGCACACCAGTTCCATGTATAGGCTCCAGCCTCTTGCGCTCAGATTTATTAATGCGCTGCTTTATGCGAACGGGATGACTCATATCCTTTTTACGCCAGCCTTGTTTCACTACCGTACTCCACTTAGGGGAATTAGGAAGATCAGCAACCCCTTCAAAATTCTTATTCACAATATCAGTATCAACACCCCCGGCGAAGCACACACACAATGATTTAATAAGCATTCTGTGAGATTGTGAAGATTATATTATTAAAACTTATCCTTTTAAGTGCATTTAATGAAAAATAGTGGAGTGTTGCAGACAACTTGATATTCCACTGTGTAATCAGTTTCTTTCCCTTGGTAACTCCCTTGGAGCAGAGTCGTGCTAAGCACAACTCCCCAGAAGTGCATTTAATAATGAGTGAACACGCTACAGCCATATGAAGGTTATACTTTTATCTTATAATGCAGTGTCTTATTAAAGTAACAATTTCCAAACTATGTTAATGCTTTAGCTATATAGCAACCTAAATGCTTCAATATTTCACACTACACTAAACATTTCTACTACATCAAGTGTCTAACCAATATCCATCTGACTAAAAATACCTAACACTGCTGAAAGATCGCCCTGAAAATGCTGAACATTTTGACATGTGAATGGTTTTGCAAGCTGAAAGTATGCTGAAGTAGAATTTTCTCATTCATTTGAATGGGGCAAGATTTGCAAAATAAAGCAAAAAATTTTAAAAAGAATGAAGTTTAGTAACTTTCTGAAAGAAAACATGAATGTCCCTGAGGACCTGAACATTTTAATAGCTGAAAGTATGCAAAAGTAGAACTTTCCCATTCATTTGAATGGGGCATGATTTTCAAAATAAAGCCAAATATTTCAAAAGTATGAAGTTTAGAAAACGTCTGAAGAGAGAAATAAATGTCCTTGAAGAGCTTGAACATTTTAATAGCTGAAATAGCCGAAGGTATACAAAATTAAAAATTTCCCCATTCATTTGAATGGAGCAGAATTTTCAAAATAAAGCTAAATATTTCAAGAGTATGAAGTTTACAAAAAGTTTGAAAAGAAGCATGAATGTCCTTTAGGAGTTGAACATGTTGATACCTAAAACAGCTGAAAGTATGCAGAAGTAAACATTTCCCTATTCATTTGAGTGGGGCAAAATTTTCAAAATAAAGCTAAATATTTAAAAAAATATGAGGTTTAGAAAAATTCTGAAAAGATGCACGAATGTCCTTGAAGAGCTAAACATTTTAATAGCTGAAGGTATGCAGAAGTAAAAATTTCCCATTCATTTGAATCTAAATATTACAAGAGTATGAAGTTTAAAAAAATTCTGAACAGAAGCATGAATGTCCTTGAGGAGCTGAACATTTTGATAGCTGCATTTATGCTGAAGTTGAATTTTCCCATTCATTTGAATGGAGCAAGATTTTCAAAATAAACCTAAATATTTCACAAATATGAAGTTTAGAAAACTTCTGAAGAGAAGCATGAATGTACTTGAAGAGCTGAACATTCTGATAGCTGAAATTATGCTGAAGTAGAATTTTCCCATTCATTTGAATGGAGCAAGATTTGCAAAATAAAGCTAAATATTTCAAAAGTATGAAGTTTACAAAAGTTCTCAAGAGAAGCATGAATGTCCTTGAAGAGCTGAACATTTTGATAGCTGAAATAGCTGAAAGTATGCTGAAGTTGAATTTCCCCATTCATTTGAATGGGGAAAAATTTGCTGAAAAACACTAAATAGTTCAAAAAGTATGAAGTTTAGGAAAATTCTGAATAGATGAACACATGTCCTGAAAAAGCTGAACATTTTGATACCTGAATGGTTTTTCTAACTGAAAGTATGCTGAAGTAGTTAAGGGCCAAAAAACATACGGACGAATAATAATAATAAAGACCAGGAAAACAAGGTATGGATGCTGACTCAGCATCCATACAATAATAAAGAACAGGATAACATAGTATGGATGCTTTTCAGCATCCAAACAATAATAAATAAGAGGATAACAATAGTGTGGTTGCTTCGCATCCACACAATAATAATAAGAGGATAACAATAGTGTTGTTGCTTTGCATACACACAATAATAAATAAGAGGATAACAATAGTGTGGTTGCTTCGCATCCACACAATGATTTTAGCTGATCCATAGATGCCAGTAAGATGAATACAAACAAATGCTAAACTAATAGTTGTTTATTTTAATCTCACTGTAGCACACACCCGCCCCAAGTACCTTAAGTCTCTGGATGTTGTGGAGCTGTCTTGGCTGACACGCCTCTGCAACGTCACATGGCAGTTGGGGACAGCGCCTCTGGACTGGCAGACCGGGGTGGTGGTCCCTCTTCAAGAAAGGGGACCGGAGGGTGTGTTCCAACTATAGGGGGATCACACTCCTCAGCCTCCCCGGGAAAGTCTATGCCAAGGTACTGGAAAGGAGAATTTGACCGATAGTCTAACCTCGGATTCAGGAGGAACAATGCGGTTTTCGTCCTGGCCGCGGAACACTGGACCAGCTCTATACCCTCTTCAGG